GGTGTGGTGCCGGTTCTGACTAGGGCTGTTTCGAATGGTTCGAGTGGGTTGGAAAGTGGTTCTTCGCCGTCGCTCGTTTCACCTGGTTTGATTCCGGCGACGACCAATGCTCCGGTGACTACCAGTGCGCCGTCTTCCACCGGTACAACTCAAATGTTGAGAGATTTTTCGTTGGATATTTACGAGAAAAAAGAGCTCGAATTCATGGGTCGCTCAAGCCCTGAAAATTGTCAAACACCATGTTCAAAACCTTGAAAATCACTTTTAACTCTCTTCTCTTCGCTGTCTCGAGTAGGCATTTTGGGCAAATATTATTTTCCCTCGAATAAACACTGTTAGCTTAGCTGTGTAAAAAGAGTAAGAAATTCTTTGTTTTTGCTCTCTCTCTCTCTAAATTTATATGCAATTTTCTGGCAGTGGGTGTAGTAAGAAATATTATGAGAACTCTGCAGCTTAAAGCACAAACTTACTGAAATATCTGACTTAATCAATGGAAATTTATGCTGTAAAAGTTTCCTTTTTTAGTAGAGCTGAAAACTCATCTGTTATATCCCGACTTTATATGTGTAAAAGCCAACTTTTTTTTTTCCATCCTTTTGAGAGTTATATTTATGGAGTCAAGGAAGGAAGTATAGTTAACATTATTTCAGTAACTCAAAGATTGTGTATCAATGTTATCAATGGTACAGTTTAATCTTTCCTAAAAATGATTATTATAAAAACACTAAAAATGCGACCCCAAATATTTATTTGAAGGAATTCTGGATGGATACACGGCTTGGGTTTGTTTACCGTGGAGGGTCAGAAAAATGGTCACGTGAGTCAGATGTTGCCACGTGCAGGGTGGTGGGTTACGAGAAGATTGGGATGCACGTGTAAGGTGGGCCCCACAAGTTAGAGGGTAGGCTAGGCAAGGCGTGCCGCGTGTGGGGTCCACAGGATTGGATTATTTTAAAAGTCAAAAAAGAAAAGAAAAAAGATTTTGTGTTTTTGTTATTGCAAAGGAAAGGAGTTAGGTCAGGTGGGTGGGCCACAATATCGAGGCTAGCTGTCATGTGACATATGGACACGTGTCATGATCTGAGCCCTTTGATACCTGGGCTCCTCCCGTGCTAACGGTGGTCCCCTCGTTATCCCAACCCAACGTTTTTCTTTTTACCATGGACAGCTTATACTTATGGCCTTATTTAATAAATACAATCACATCATCATAAATAATTCATTTTGTACTAAATAATAATAATAATAATTCATTTTACATTTTTTTTTAAAGACATTTAAGAAAATTACATTGCAAGTGCAACGTGTGAACTACTTCAATTCCTTCCCCATATATGATGTTCATTTTTATATGGGAAGTTTTATTTAAAATATGTTAAATGACCGCTCCAGTTTTCGAGTTTCAAAATCTTAAGTTATATTTTATCATGGCTATAAATTTTGTATTACTTGGGACAAAAATTGCTACTAATAGCAACATGCTTTGATTTTTTTTTTTTTTAAGGTATGCATCTTTAGAAGAAATGGTAGGATGAAAAGTATTTGATTTGGGCAAAAACATATAGTTAATAATATTATCGAAACTACAAATAATAGATCATGTGACACGGATAAAAGTTGGATAATATAAATAGAATAAACGTCAACCAATAACAACAGTAACCAAATAAAGGTTAGGAAAACTATTATTTATAGTTTTCTACATTTTAGTTAGATTTTTTTACAAATGGAGAGTGAATCTAAGTTTCTTGACTTCCAAACAGAGAAGAAAATTTGCAGTACGCATTATTGTTTGTACTTGAGTTTTAGTTCTTGCCTGCCCATCTCCCATCGCCATTCTCAAACCAAACCTGATGGACATTGCCTAACGAATCAACCCTAGGTGAAAAGTCGAAAAAAAAAAAAGTCAATTTTTACCCCAACCATTTGGTTAAGGTGGGTAACATTTCATCCCATCCAAACTTTCAATTTCATTCCATTTCAATTAAAGTAAACCTTAACAATTTAACCGGAAAGACAAACTTAAGATTAGTTAATATGTACCAAAAACTTATGATTCAAATTTACAGACGTAGACTCCGTTGTATTAAACAAAAAAATCAACTTCCAAGGAACAAAATTGAATTCTACCAAGAATAAATCTCTCAAAATTAATAAAATTTAACAATAATGTAACTCTAATGTTATCTTTCTCGAAAGTGCCCATAATTTTTGTACTAGACCTCTATTTATAATCTAATTAACGTATTTGAGAATATTTTTCAGTGATTGTACCAGTAAAAATTGACTTTAACTAACTCTTGGATGTACGTATGTATTTGAACATAGCAAGAATAGAGTTTTTTGTGAAATTAAAATAACTAAAGCACATTTCTTCCTCTTCTTCTTCTCTTTCTTTTTTTTTTTTTTTTTAATTTCTATTCTATGTATTTTTGTTCTTGTAAGATTTTAGTCTCTGCATTTACTTTTAAAAATTGTAATGTGATTGACTTTTCAATGATAAGAATGAAGTCCCATGGATAAATAACTGGACTGCCTTTAATTTTGGATCTAGATAGAAATGAAGCCAACATGGAAAAAATGGGGAAAAAGAAACTGGTAACAGTAAAACTGTCTAAGCTAAATCAACCAGTTGATTTGAACAATTAATATTGATTAATTTGGTTTCATAGACTATAAATTTTCAATCTTATTGGTATGTTTTACCTTACAAAAATTCGAATACTTACTTCATACATAAAGTCGAAGATGTAGCTCAATTTTGCAGTAACATATTATATCGTCAGACTTTTTATATGTAAACATTCATTTATTATTGAACTACATATTGGACTTGGAGTATTAGTTTACTTTGTCAATTCTATAATCTTCGATATTAATGAGTGCAGTATGCACTAGAAAATAGTTAGAAACAAGACAAAGTCAATCTTGCATTACATTTAACATAACTTAATAATTATATAAACTATAAATTAAAGTAAAGAAATTCTGAACTTTAAAAAAAAAAAAACCATTTAACCTTTAATTTACTTGGACTAGAGAATGATATTAAAAAAACAGCAACAGCATGGTTGCTTAAGGAATTCCCAAAGTTGGAAAAGAGAAAAAGTGGGGAGTACAGCTGATTGTGTCCTCTTCCACAATGGAGTAGCTTGAAAGTACAGTAGGATCAATCCAAATCAACACAACTAATTTGCTTCATTAACCATTCATTAACTTAATTCTTTCCCATTCTTCATAAATCTCTATATAAAGAGATGATCAAACAGATATATGCCAAACCAAAATACGTTTCATACAATACAAATGGCGACAAATGCAAGAGCAGTCTTGTTTCTAATGCTCATGCTCGTGGTTTGTGTATCTGAAGGAGTTCTTGACGGCAATTATTACACAAAAACATGTCCAAATGCTGAGAAAATCATCCTCCAGACCGTTTACAATGCTTCCATTCATGACCCCCGAGTCCCTCCTCGGCTTCTCAGGCTCTTCTTCCATGACTGTTTCATAAGGGTAATCGTAAATCTCACTAAAACTTTCTCAAGTGTTAGAATTAATGCAATGGGATTGGTGTTTGACAGGGATGTGATGCATCAGTGTTGATAGATTCAACGCCGGGGAAGCAGGCCGAGAAAGATGCACCTCCAAACATCTCGCTGAGGTCATTCTACGTGATCGACGAGGCCAAGGTGAAGCTGGAAACTGCTTGCCCGCGTACTGTTTCCTGTGCTGATATTGTCGCCATTGCTGCTAGAGATGTAGTAACTCTGGTACTCAACTCATCTTCCTCCCACCAGTTAGTTGAGGCCTATTAATGTTTAGCATCAGTGATATTCTCTTTGCTTTCCTGATTTCTTGGAAAAATATGCAGTCTGGGGGACCATATTGGAGTGTACTGAAAGGAAGGAAAGATGGGAAGATTTCCAATGCTTCTGAAACCATCAACTTGCCAGCTCCAACTTTCAATGTTTCTCAACTCATCCAAAGCTTTTCAAACAGGGGATTACAAGTCAAAGACTTGGTTGCTCTATCTGGGGCTCACACTGTTCTTCCTTCCAATCCAGACTCCGCAACTTCACCTCAATTCATCAAACTGATCCAACTCTGGAATCTGGGTTTGCGCAGATTCTAAGAGAGAAATGTCCAAAACCCAATTTGGACAAAAATGCTGGACAATTCTTGGACCCAACTTCCTCAACTTTTGACAATGTGTATTACAAGCGACTGATGGAAGGAAAGGGTGTGTTTGGTTCAGATCAAGCTCTGTTTGGTGATTCCAGAACCAGAAGGATTGTTGGGTCGTTTGCTAAAGATCAGAATTTGTTCTTCAAGGAGTTTTCAGCTTCAATGGTAAAATTGGGTAATGTTGGGGTCAGTGAAAACGGCGATGTCAGAGTCAATTGCAGGGTGGTGAACTGAGAGAAACAGAGAGAGTTTTTTTTACAAAAAATTATGTAATGTTGATGAATTTATACTGTTTGAAATAAAGTGATAAAGATGCCTCTTCCATTGATAGCCAAGAAAGTCCTCAAATATAGTATGTCATATATCAGAGATCAAGTTCACAGAAGAATGTAAAGAACAAGCTCACTAAACAGTAAGGAACTGTAACAATGACCGTTTCTTCCTTCTGTGTCAGATTTGTCATTATTTTTCAAAGAAATAAAACACTATATCAGAGAGACATATATTCTACCCTTGGTTTCTGCCAAAAATCCCTCCGTTTTTCAAGACCAAAGAATCCCCTGGTATCAATCAATTTCTTTGGCTGTTTAGACCCTTCAATAGCTATTGAATATGATGATGGAAGTGTTGTGTAAACCACAACTGGACTTCTCACCTCATGCACACCATCTTTCCATGTGATGGAACCTGATATTATTGGCACTTGAGATATCTTTGGACCTGTAATCTTTACCGTAACGGATTTCTCTTCCCCAATTGTGGAGAATGAAAGAACTGCTTCTCAACTTTCACCCTTATAGCTTCAGGGTATAAACTTCAGCATGGTAAGTTGAATTTGGCGAACCAACATTGGTAACTTTCCTGGTGAAAAATCCATTCTCCATATAAATCTTCTACTGCTAGAGAAAATGAAGGATAGTTCAGATCCGACTCTACCATGTTTGGAACTATTGCGAGCTCTTTGTTGATCGCCAGTCAATTTAACATGGTACGAGAAAAGAAGATTACGTAACATAGTAGAAGAGAAGATTACGTGTTCAAACCCTATAATATCATTTGTTAGTTTATATTTAAAGTGAGGTTTGTCAAGTTTCAAAACGAATTTAAATTTATGTTAAATAACTAATCTTTTTTTAAAAAATGTCCCCTTCAAGAAACTTTCTTTCCACCATCCATTTTACAGAAGACAGTCCAAATGGTGAAGAATCTTTCCTCCTCGAAACTAGTCTATTCAGTATTATTATCACTCTTCTTAGTGGTTTTGAGCATCCTATTGACATATTTTAGATTCATAGTTTACAAATATATGCAAAACCCACAAAAAGATGGCAACTTTGAGTTACAATCCTAACATTAAAAAATAAAAAATCAAGTTTATAAAATTAAATTCCTTTGGTCAGAACACAACTGCGAGGAATGTAAACATAACAATACATATCAGAGTGGCATATCACATATGCAAGTAGAATGTCGTCTAGTCGCCTTGTAGTACAACTTATGAAACTAAGAACTCCATTTCACCAGAGATACACTGACTTTCTTGAGCTATTTAGGAACCAGCCCAGCCCCAAAAAATCGGCCATAGATGAGCTCGGGTAACAAATAAAATGTGTTGTTTAGTCATTGAATAAAATGAGGCTACCTTAGAGACCTGTTTTTGGTTGTCACGACATCCCAAGAGATATAAACAACCAAGTCAATAGCACATCTTAATCACATTTAGGTAATTCCAATGATTTTCTGTCGAGCAGACCTCCAACCTGTCAGGAATTATGTATGAGTTAACAAGAGATATAGACTGTGGAGAAACAGAATGAAACCAGAGAATTCAAGAAAAGATAAGGCTAGATTCCAAATATAGCTAAATAACATGAAACTCAACCAATGAATCGACAAAATTACCTAAACTTATCATCAACAAAATGTGACATCTGAACGGAAAATGTATTTGATACCCTTCGTAACATTGCGAGCTTCATGCAACAAACACTTGTCCCCATGAAGGTGCAGGAGAGCCATCCCTTCAGTAGGAGCCACCTAGAAAATGCATAAGAAAAACAAAAATGCAAGGAACTTGAAGTAGCAGGAAAAGGAAAAGACAGGAAGACAGATAAGGTGTCTCTCTGCAAGTTCACGTGTGATTATCAGAAACTTTGTAAACAAATGGAGCAAAGCAATTGGAAATAAAAATGGGGATTCACCTCGGCCACAACGCCATTCCTTGAACCATAGAAAACGGTTTCCCCTCCAACCAGAGGCTCGGAAGAAGGACCTTTTGAATCGTTGGTATCGTTTTTTGTTTTGCCTTTAGAACCTCCACTTAAATATATTAACAAAGTGTAATATGTGCGCTTTCCCCCTCCAAGATCAACACTTTCATCAATATGGCGTCCGAAGCGTTGACCAACATTGTATCTGAAATACCATAGTTTTTATGTTATGGCTAGGTGTTAGACTACGGTAGATAGTTATAGCAAATCTTGCAATCTATAAAACAAAAGCGACAGCAAAGAAAGAAGCTTGCCTTATCCTAGAAGGAGAATCAAATAAAATCTGCATTATAGCTTGACTTGTAAAACTCTAAATATAATTTGAAACTTGAAGCCAAGAAGTATAAGCATATCTCCTTCATAAAAAATTTTGGGAGGAAAATTAAATATAATGTGCTCTGCACTAGGCCAAGTTCATGGATTGCTTAGTCCTATCGATTTCATCTATCACTATCTATGGCTTCACAGGCACCTCACTTGAATGTTGAGCCAAAACTTCCCTAAAAGCATAGCGATAGCTAATGTTATTCACGTGAAAACTCGTTATGCACTTCAACTAATCTCACGAGACAATTGCCTCACCCTATTATATTGGTTGCCAAGAAAATTTATAAGACATTAAATCTTAGGTAGGTGGCCACCATGATTTGAATCTATTCTCTCCCAGCTCTTAACATTAACATTTTTCATTGCTCCGATGACCACTTGGCCAAGTATTGGTGTATTCGCATGCAATCTTTTAGAAACTTGAAATAGTTTCTAGAACAACTTCATTACTCCCTTGGACACCAAAAAAAAAAAAAAAAAATTATCAACCCAATGGTTAAGAGCCTGATTAGAAAGTAAGGCTGAAGTCACCTGTAAAATCTGATATTTGGATTCAACCCAACAGCAACTTTTCCCCGTATTTTAATATCAGCAAATAGTTTATCAAGTCCCGAACGCCAAATGGTGTCTGCTAAATCGGGATCATTCACCGAGATCCGATCATTATCTCTGAAAGCTTCTCCTTTCGTGGGACCAAGGCTCCCCTGATGAACAAAACCCATCGATTCTGCAATCGTGATGAATCCTTTTGACTCAACAGATGTGAGAAAACTTGGCACCTACATAAGTTAAACCATAACGTTCATTGCCAACCCAACTACTGAAGTAACCTATATCGAATTAGTTCGTTAACAGATACATGTTCCAAACCGGTTGAGTTTGAAAGTTAGAGTCGAAAAAATAAAATACACAACAGATCCATATCTCCACTGTTTAACAAAAACCCTATAATGAAATCTTTGTTTAGCATCTACATCTAACGTAATTTCTTCAGTAATAGAATTTCACGAAATGGAAAATCGAAGAGGGTATGAAGTATTGCAAATTGCGTCAACAAGCCATTTACCACCATTATCTCCATTGTAAAAGGTCACCCACAAACGAAATGGGAAAAACGAGCAAAAAAAACAGAGGAAGGGAAAAAAATTGACGCATTGAATAAGAATGAAGATGAATCAAATGTAAACCTAAGAACAGATTGGAAGTTTGAAGATAATTTGGATATGGATTCTCACCGTGAAGAGATCATTTTCTTTGAGGCGGACGATCTGAAGATTCTGCTTGGGTTTAATGGCTGGCCAATTCGTTGTTGGGGTTGTTTTCTTGGAATCCCCCTCCCCTCTTCTACCCGCCATTTTTCTCTTCTTCCCCTGTGTTTCCGCCATCAAAAATCATCCCATCACTCTATTTCTCGACCATGAAGTTTTTGTTGTTCGGCCCAAATCAAGTAATTGCAACAAATTTCTTGGATTCTTGATGGGCTTATCAGAGATTTCCTTCCTGGTGGGCTTTATTGGGCCTACAAGATAATTGGACCATTTTTACAGTTATTCCATATTTTTTCAATATTTCAATTTTTCTTTTGATTGTATGGTTTGACAAGACATTGCATAATTAGTGACAATCATATCTTTAGCTTTTCCTTTTCTTTATAATCATGAATATATTCTAAGTTTGACAATGAGATTATCCATAAAGTTTATCGAATGCTTCACTACAGGCCATTCATGGAGCATTTAATCTCATTGAAATTTAGAGAAAATTAAATTTATAAGCTATTTTTTGAAAAATCTTAATCATTAGTTTCCTGAGATTTAATAACTTTTATTAATACATGAACAAAAGTTATAAACATCTAAATTTCTGTTGATAGATGGGTAGAGAAAGAATATATTCCTCGGCCTAGTCTCCAAAATCAAATCGAATTAATTAAAGGAAAGATTTTACGGATTTATTTCATAGATGATCGTGGTTGGAAGAATAGTTTAGCTTATATATTATGTTACTATTGCATATCTTTGGAGTCTTTTACAAGGAATGATAATCAACTTTTATATTGACAGAAGATTCTTTGGCGACATAGCTTGGATTTTTCAATTTTGATATATGAAAAAAAAAGTTAATAAAAAGTTTATCTTTTCTTGAAGTATGTTTATGCAAAGAGTTGCACAACGCTGTTTACGTATCGAGCTCGAATCCAATTCTCGGCTCAACCTGAATCTTGGAGTGAACCTGCACAAGAGGGTAATATCTCCGACGATCAAGTCAGTATAGGTCGGACTCAATATTAAGCTCGATAAGATTCCATACTGAGTGTGAATGAGACCCTCTATTTATAGGTGGTGGGTCCGACAGCACTTACGACCGGCGGTTATCTTTGTTTTTTGTCATGTCGAACCTGTCGGGTTTGGGCAGATCGAACCCCTTCAGGTCGAATCCCGACTTTTTACACTTAGTCTCGTATTTGGACAAATCTGGTCTCTTCGACAGGTTCGAGGTGGACTTGGAATATTCTTTTATTTTTAAGCACCATTGAGCGTCCTCCACGTGTCCCCAATATTTCTTCCCCCAAACAAAGTATATTACGAAATAAAGAAAATGATTGATAAAACTAATCTGGATTTGAAATATAAAATTTATAAACAAACAAATCTAAATTATTTCTTAGACCATATATCTTCGACTAAATAAATAAATAAGACACCGTATGAGATAAATGTAATAATTTGACCAACTAAATTAAATTCATACTCATGTTTAGTGGAAAAACTCATCAAAAGAATTCGATTATTAATTCTCAATTATTGCCTTTGTAATTAAAAGAAAAAATGTTTAATTATTAGAATGTTCAGTCATATTAACTTAGTCTTAACTAAGAAAAAATTATACATTACGTTATGGGTTAGGATTTAATCTCTATATTTTTAAATTTCATTATCATCCAAATCTAATTTTGATTAAAAGCATTTATCAAATATCTTTCTTGTTTGTAAGAAGTAAGGAAATCAAACGTGACGATATATTTGTGATTGCACTATAATAGAAGTTACAAAAGTTCAAACATGCATTTATCGATTGCAATGCACTGTAGAATAGACCCTAGTCTCATTTTTGTTCAATCAAAGTGGTTGATGTGCGATTTCAATTTGCTTGACACGTCAGCAAATAGTCAAGCATGGAGATTGGCATGGACTTGGTTGATAACAAAGTAGAACCTTATATTGGTGTAGTGTTCGATCGGTCACATACACTCCAAAACTTAAAGTTAATCTAAACTTGTGCCAAGGTAAGTTTTAAGTAGAATGCAAGATGATGCATACTTTTGAAACTGTGAGACTCTGCCTTTTGGAAAATGTGACTCTATCATTTTGGTGCCCATACATGTCCTTTAACTAATTTTGCGTTGACAATTAGAAGATCTTTTGACAGCAGAATCATCATTCTGCTTAATGTTAGCACTTTTTTTTTTCCCTTTCTTTCTAGTTGCCATTCACTGGTTAAAGCACACGAACAGGGACAAAATCCTACAAAGATGAAACTATGATTAAAATATAACAACTAAAAATGTAATTTAACAGAAGAAAAAAGTGTAAATGAAACTTGGGCCCATCCAATCTTATATGCTTTAAGGTAAAAGTAGGTTAAAAGCTTGGGAAGAGAAGTGGACAAAAGAGAGAGTTTGGAGTGTGACATTTTGCTTTTGAAGTGATTCTCAAATGGAAATGCATACGTCCCAACCTCAATAATTGACCTCTTCCTTTTGTCTTGTCACATCATGCTTTTCTTTCTATCTCTTCTTTTCTCCCCCTTTCCTTGTCTCATAAAAATATAAACATATACTTCCCCAATCTCCTAGATTTAACTCTAAATTCTGCATGTAACCGTTACATTATCACGAAGAATCCTCAACAATTTTCTCGTTGTCTATGTCGACAAGGTCATTTTACTTTTCCAATATCGATTTCTCAAAAAACATATAGATGTGACGGTAAGAAATACATAAAGGTTTCTGATTGTCTAAATTGATGAAGTTATTTAAACCTCTGAAATTATTTCTTCAACCGACAAAATAGGTAAAGTTCTCTCATCGTTTATGTTTATAAATTATTCATGTTTTTAGGTAAGTTTTTTTTACTACTAATAATTGAAAACTACTTTTATATTGTTAAGACTCCCACATTTAAAAAAAAAAGACGTAACAATGGTCTATAATAGAGATGAGCTACTCCTCTCATCACCAATTGATTTTGAGATGGAACTTCATGAATATTATTTAAAATTATGTATAAAAATGTGATTATGCAGGAAAGAAAATAAAAAATTATAGAGGAATATTAAAAGTACTTGGATTCAGTGATTAGGGTCAAATGTAAAACTTCTAAAGAGAAAAACATACATGTTATGTTCTTGATCTTCATCCACTTAAACAATTTAAACTCATTTTTTGTTTTTAATGGGAAATGAGAGTGAAAAGACATGTATGGTATATGATATTCTACCATACTAATGAATCTGAAGCCTCAATTTTTTTTAGTACAACAATGAGGATTTGAACATCCAATGTCAAGAATGCTGATGCTAGACTAATTAAATAGAATTATTTACTAGGATTTGGTTGATCCTCTAATTAGATTACTTAATACGTCCATTAAAATATCTCAAATATAATTAGATATGTCTTTCAGAGAATTATCCGAGCTCGTAAATTACATATTAGATTAATTCTAACAATAAAGGCCAGACATCAGATTTTGTGAGCTTGAAACTTTATTAATCCAATCCTTCACATTCAATCATACTCATTTTGAATATAAATCCTTTCACGTTCAAGGTTTTCTTTGTTGAATAGAAAGGGCAGTGGATCCTCTCTCATATCATTGTCATCACCAACATTCATATTTGTTCAAATGATTCCTCAATAATATTGTTTAAAGATTTTATAATAAGTTACAGAGAAAACCCAAACTTTGAGAGTGTGTTGATTATAATAGGTAGGGTCTTTCCTTTTAGTGGTAAATCATTTCCTTTTTCATGTCTAATTGGCTTTATGATTGGTGGGTTTTTCTTTTGGACTCATTCAGTGTATAAATATGAAGGGTTTTTTTTCCTTTTCCTTTTTTTTTTTGGTAGCCATGTTCATTGGCTGTGAGGCATGCATCCATCATCATCCATCATCTGATCTGCCAACTCTTAATTTGAACAGCTCCAACATTGGTGGGACATTCACCTTTTGAAACAGTTGTGTGTGTTGCTTTCTTCTGTTTTTGGTTGGTATTTCTTGTCTTGCTTATCAAAAAAATATTGGGTAAGACTTAATTAAGAGACAGCTGCAAAAACCAATGTTTTTGCAGTACAAGACAAGAGTAATAGGGTGTGGTTTTTGTTGTTATCCATTTTAATTTGTTCTCTTGTAACATCCTATGTTATATGCCAATTTAACCAACTTTAAATTAAAAGGTTATTGGTATTGTAGGGTTTGATGTATTGAATTGGAAAAGCACCATTTTCCTTTAAAACCACAACTTAATTTCAATGACTTGTTCGGTTTTCATTCTTTTTACAAAAAAAAGGCATATGTCATGCCACGCGAGTTTCAAGGTATGTGGATATTTTAGCTTTCACAACCTTTCCATAATGACTTATTATACGTATATCCTAATTTGATGATTATTATTATTTGAATTAAGGTTTAAATCGAAATCCAAAATTATTGGCTTCAATATTAGTTGGGCCAATTGACATGATTGACATTTCAAGATCAAGATCGTGTGCAAAAATTAAATTCATTGGAAATTAGGATGCATCGAACTCTCGTATCTTCAAGCTTTAAACTTTAGAATTTCTAAGTTAATGATGAATCCATGAAAATGCAGATCATTAAACATTGATTGGAATGTGATTACATATTACTCCATCAAAAACATTAATATCAAAATATTTGTTGATAAAAGTATACCAAGTCAAGCAGCTCGCTATGTAGCAATAGATTTGGGTAGACAAAGTCACTCCACAAGAGCAACCTCGAGTTTGAATTATCATTTTGTTATTTTTTCTCATTAAGAAAGGAAAAAAAGGGGAAGTTCTCTTCTTACCCTTTGAATTTAAGAGAATTAATTTTTACTTTGGAGGTTTTAATTTTATTAAATTGAACTCTAAAGTATCGAAATTAATACTCATTATGGGTTGAATTTTTCTTCTTTTTCAGATTTTTGACAAAAATAAGTATTCACGTGTAACTCGATGCGAGAGGATTTTATAGTTGGTATTAGTTATGCTAGATATCCTTTTAGTTTGTGAAAGGCTTGTGTGTTTTTTCGATTGTTCAACTTTTGGGTTTGGGCTTGGGTGTTTTCAAAAGTTGAGCTTTAGATGCTTTGATAGTTAAATATGAATAGCTCTTTATTTTTCGATATCCATTAGTTTGACGTCGGAAAACACACAATAATTCATTCATAAAAATATAGGTGGCCATCATAAGGTTTGAGCTCATTTCTTCTCAATTTATCCTAATCCAACAAGCCACCTATGATGGTTAGATATAGATAACTTATGGTTTACACTTTTAACTTGGTTTCGTGGATATAAAAACTATATAAGTTTATGGTTTCT